TGAGTTCAGCGCTGCACATGCGCCGGTGAGTCTCGTGAAAACCAGTATTTGAGCTTATTTATGAAAGGAAGGACATGTGCTAGAGATTACATGATGCTGAAGGAGCTCCGGCTACACAGACACACTCAAATCATCTCGAAGATACTCCAGAGTTTGTTGTTTGTTTATCAGTGGCATATTCTACTGTTGTATTGAATATTGCATCGTTATCCAAATACTAAAAACAAACAAAAGAACAAATGTTTATTACTTGTTTTATGTTGTAGTGTGTACAGCAGCTTAATTATGTTTACAAAATTGGAGTTGTACTTGGGGTATTGTATATATCCTGTTTTATATACAACAGTAAGTTCTGGTTCTGGAATCTGACTGGCTCAGTGTTGTCTAAGAGGGCTAAAATATAACCGTCTGACAGGATTTTACAGTGATTTTTCTGCAGGTTACACTATTACACCAGTAGGTGGTGACAAATGACTGTGTGTGTGAGTGAGTCACTGAATCATTTACTCAACTGATCTGCAGCTCTGAGCATCTGTTTCTGTGTGTTTCTGCTGTGAGAGAGTGATTGTAGGATGTGAGCGTCTGTTAATTGAAGGCCTGAACGATGTGTTTAGTTGTGGAAGAGGTTTGCTTTTATCTTCAGATTGAAGAGCTCTTCTGGCTGCGTTCTACAGACCCTTCGTGTGAAGTCTGATTCATGAACTAGTCATTGTTTTCAACTGATTCTTTTCAGTGATTCGCTGTTCTGTAAAGAAGGACTTTCTTTAGTAAAATCACAATTAAGACTGTTATCACACACTGTAAAAAAGATCATGTTAAATTTATGGTAAAAATCAACAACTTAAAACCATATATATCATTGGTGATGTTCATTTAACAGTCTACTTGATATCCAGCGTTAATAACAGAGATGGTACAATATAAATCATGAATTCATTGTAAATTGTCAGCCCATGAACATGGCCATTACTCGTATGTGACCCTGGAGCACAAAACCATTAAGGGTCAATTTTTTGAAATTGAGATTTATACATCATCTGAAAGCTGAATATCTTCATGGAACATGATCTTTACTTAATATCCTAATGATTTTTGGCATAAGAGAGAAATGTATAATTGTGACCCATACAATGTATTGTTGGCTATTGCTACAAATATCCCCCAGCGACTTACACTGCTTTTGTGCTCCAGGGACACATATATAGACGTGCACAGTGTCAAACACATGAAGAAAAGACCATCAGGGTAACACACATGACAGTGAAATAACACAATAAACATGAACTAAATAAATGCCATTACATTTTGTAACCTACTGATAATATGAATAAAAAAGAAACACAATTATTTAGACAAAATATAATCATATATGAGGTCTTACACAGGGACTTCTGAGAATGTACTTTTACCATTGTTCACAGTAAATTACATGGTAATTCATAGTTTTCCATTTTTTACTATATATGGTATGGCAACTTAATTCACTTTAGCATTTTTACAGTATTTATATGTAAATATGTTGCTTTTAAAGCACCGTTATTACAGTGTATAGAGGAACTATGAGAGGAACTAATGTAATAACATAAGAATTGTCCACTGAAAGACACTACTGCTCCACCATTAAACTGAATGTAAGGGAGTGTGTTTCTCTCCCAGGTTTGGGAACAAGATGCAATTTATGATGCACTTTATATATAATCTAATAATGAAGACATAGCAACAGTGGTAGAGATGGCAAACTATGAGCTCCTGGAACGAACTGAATCTCTAAATGAACTGGGCGTCTCAGTCTGACTGTATTTGGTATTTTGGCTGCTCCTCATCGTCCCTTCGGAGGAGAGCCATAGTGTCAGATAACTGGTCCTCAGCTCCGCCCCGCTCCTCTCATGCTCCGCCCCCTGTGTTTACATTCCAATCTCCATATATGGAAGAAGAGCCCCACCCCCGAGTCTCAGTGAACTAACTCAGCTTCATCAGGTCAGGAGGAGAACAAGCACAGATCAACAGCATTACTGGAGCAGAAACACAAACACACCGATCACTGCTTCACTCTGTTCAGACAGGACATATGAGAGGTTTAATGGATAAAGTGTGATGCTGTGAATAAATGCCTGTAGACTGGATCAGTTTCAGTGAGTTAACAGCTAGTAGACGCTCAATAGTCATCAAGCTGTTTGCTGTTCTCTCAGCACATCAGTGTGAAGCACACGGAGCATGTGCTGCTCTCTCGATGTGTGTGACCGTGAGAAACTCTGTCATATAGATCACTGAAATCACTAGACACAGTTAACTAGCATCACTAGTGCTGTCAGGCAGCTGAGGCTCACTGCAGATGTGGCATCACTGGAGAAAGCTCAAAGGTCTTGTCATAGCTTTTTGGTGGAAATGTACATTAACATATGTTGAAACTGTTAGATGGTGCTGCACATACTACACTCTTATTAGTAGCAGTTATTGTGTCTTATTAGACAGTTATGGCAGAATAGTTCACTAAAATATATACTTTTTTAATTCATTGCATAAACATCATTGCCAAGGCAACATTTCTTATTTTCGTGTTTTTTTTTAAGTACAAACGTAACTAAAACGTATAGACATATTTTAAAAAGCACAATAACTAATCAAATAAAATGTCAAAATTACTAAAAGTAAAGTGAAAACAAAATATATAAAAATGTATTTGAAAATATTAGCAAACATAATAATAGCACATCAATGACACTAAACACACACTCTGTTGTGGGACGCTGTGTGGTGTAGCCTGGCTAATTTAGTCGATTACATGACCAAATGCAGTATTTCATTAAAAAAATGCAGTTACACTTTAGTTCAGCACTTGATTTCATGCACATTGAATGTACTGTTCATTAGGTGGATGACAGTGTTCCCTTCACGCACAGTGAGTCTCGCTCATCTCTCCTCTCTCCAGCGGCTCCTCTCCATCCTCCTGCTGTCGTGCTGGACCGATGCTCGGCGAGGAAATATGTTGAAACTGTTAGATGGTGCTGCACATACTACACTCTTATTAGTAGCTGACAGTTATGGCAGAGTTATTATAGTTAACTAAAAAAATTTTTTTTTAATTTTTAATTCATTGCATAAACATCATTGCCAAGGCAACATTTCTTATTTTCGTTTTAATGTTTCGTTAAGTACAAACGTAACTAAAACGTATAGACATATTTTAAAAAGCACAATAAGTAATAAAATGTCAAAATTACTAAAATACACTTTAGTTCAGCACTTGATTTCATGCACATTGAATGTACTGTTCATTAGGTGGATGACAGTGTTCCCTTCACGCACAGTGAGTCTCGCTCATCTCTCCTCTCTCCAGCGGCTCCTCTCCATCCTCCTGCTGTCGTGCTGGACCGATGCTCGGCGAGGAGCGCCACGCTCTCCAGAGCCCAGCAGAGCACCTCCTCCAGCCCCGACCACACGCTCTCGGCCAGCAGCGACTCGGGTCTGTCCAGTGCCTCGCTGCGCACCGACGGCTGGCCCAGAACCCCGCAGCCCAGCCAGCAGGAGCGCGTGGAGCTCAAGCGGCTGCTCAGCGGCTTCGGCCTGGACGAGACGAGCCGAGGCTGCGCCGCCACGGAGCCGCCCGTGAGCCCTGCGCCGCTGCACCTGAACGGACGCCTGCGGCCAAAAGAGCGCGAGACCGACATCCTGGACGACGAAGCGCTGACCTCACGGCACGACCTGCACAGCGTGGACAGTCTGGGCACGCTCTCCTCGTCCTGTCACCAGAGCAGCCAGAACTCGCTGCTGTCCGACGGCTTCGGGAGCCCCAGCCGCGCAGACGAGCCTCAGACGCACGCAGCGGCCGGGGACGAGTCCGAGCGCAGAGCCGGCTTCGCTCACAGGGGCGCGTCGCTGCCCGTCAGCTCTCCCAGACATGTGTTCCAGCACGCAGGATACTCCACGCAGACCTGGGTCCATCAGCAGCAGCTGGTCGCCGCTCAGCAGTACCTGTACCTGCCGGGGGAGGACGCCACAGAGCACATGCAGCAGCTGCTGCCTAAACCCGCCGGTGAGCAGAACGAACTACTCTGATACTCTGATGTTACATTGATTCGGTTCTCAAACTATATTAAAGCAATAGTTCAGTCAAAAATAAAAATGTGCTCATCCTCAGGTCATCCGAGATGTAGATGAGTTTGTTTCTTCATCAGGTTTGGAGAAATGTAGCACTGCATCAGTGTCTCAGCAATGGATGCTCTGCAGTGAATGGGTGCCGTCAGAATGAGAGTCCAAACAGCTGATAAAAACATCACAATAATCCACAGCACTCCAGTCCATCAGTTAACATCTGGAGAAGACAAAAGCTGAAACTAATCCAGCATTAAGACGTTTTTAACTCAAATACATAGAGTCCATAATCCATAATAACTCTTCCTCCAGTGAGTCAGTGTAGTTTTTATCAGCTGTTTGGACTCATCTCACAAAATTTGGTGAACTATCACTTTAATATATTTCAATTTTACAAAATTTTCTCAAGCACAAAAACATTTGTACAAAGTAAAAAGATATATGAGATACATTATAAAGACCATATTAATATATTTTTCTTTAATTACAAGCAAAAACTTTACTTCATGCAGGTTAATATAATATTTTTTTGGCTTTTTACAACTTAATTTCACAATAAACAAAAGCTAAATTAGATATAATATGAAAGTAAAATTTTTCTTTTAAGATTAAACTAAAACATTTTAGTCAGTGTTTAATTTAGTTTAATTAAAATAAATAAAAGCTAATTTGAAAGGGCTTAATGCACTGAAAATAAAACCTAAAACACTAAATATAGTAAAACTAACAAAACAAAACAAATGTTTTATGTTAAATCAGGTAGCAATAGCTCTCTAAAATAACAAGTGCAGGTTACCACTTTTTACACTGTTTATTGTGTTTTTTTTTTTATATGCATCATATTTTCTAAAGTGATAAATTAAATAAAACTCCAGATAATTTCAGCATTCAGTAACACTAGTGTTCTGCACATCATCGCTGATGTCCAACCAAAATACTATTTAGACAAAACGGTTTCTTATCGTTTTTTTCTATGAGGAAAGTTATTTGCTTTTATTCAAACGGAACCAAACTGGAATCCGGTATGAAAAAGCACTGTAATGAATGAGTGTGTTTTCTGGTGTTTCAGTGCTGGACAGCGGTCCATCGAGCCCCGTGATCTCTCAGAGCCACGACACGGACAAGAAACACGACGAGGAGTTCAGCTCTCTGACGCTGGACATCGATAACTCCATCCATCAGCTCAACCAGCTCATCCTGGACCTGGATCCCACCTTCGTGCCGGTTTCCACCAAACCCAGCGGCTTCAGCGGCGCAGACAGAAACGGACACCCGCAGACAGACGGGACTCATCAGAGGGGTGAGATCAGCTTACACAAGCACTCATGAAGTAATGACGGAGTTTTCCTGGAGTAATAATACTAAATCCTGACAGCTCACTCGAGGAACGGCTTCATTCACCCAAACATGATCATTCTGTTACTTTTTCATACAAGTGTCACAGTTATGGACTTCTTTAGTGTTTTTATTTAGTCATTCAGTTCACCTGTGTTTGATTAGTTATCATCCTCACCTGTGTCCCTCGTTATCTCACCCTGCTTAAGTTCCGCTTTCACTTCAGTTAGCTGCTGGTTGATAGCTGTGTTTGCTGTTTGTGTAATCCTGTGTTTTGTATGAATCGTCATCATCTTGGATTACTAGTAAATGTGATTTGGATTGCCTTTGTCTCCGTGCGCCTCCCTTCACAAGAGCGTGACAATAAGTAAAGACAGTTACTTCTGTTTCCCCGTGTGTTCTCTGACAGCTGTCCTGTCCCGTGTTCAGAGAAATCAGGAGTGAGTGCAGAGACAGAGACTCTTCCTTCAGCCTGAGGCTCATTCTTTTCACTTTTGGTGTGAAAGGGCCTTTACAGTTGCCAAAAAATTATCTTGTGTTTTTCGTTATTGAAAATCAAACAAGCAAGCCCAGCCCACGTGACAAAAAGTAACGCAAATGTAACGTAATGCATTACTTTCCATAAAAAGTAGGTAAGTAATGCAATTAGTTACATTTTCATGGAGTAACACAATATTGTAATGCATTACTTTTAAAAGTAACTTTCCCCAAAATGGAGTGTGAATCTATGACATGGTTTAGGATGCAGGACTGTCTCTGGTTCAGTGATGTGAGGAGCACAGTGAGACTGATGTGTGTGTGTGTGTGTGTGTGTGTGTTCTTGTCTCATCAGAGAACAGATTCATAATGAGCCCAAAGACGGACCTCTCTGGAGCACGAGGAGAGACGGCCTGGACACTGAACCTGACCACTACAGATGGAAACACACTGACCACTGCTGCACCACACACACAGGTGACACACACACTGTCACAATCAATAAAAACTTTATTTCTGCTTTTAGTGTGTTGCTAGTTTTCTCCAGTGACTGTGTGTGTGTGTGTGTGTGTGTGTGTG